GGAGTTCCGTATTTGAACTTTGTGATGAATGTTGACCTATACTAATGCGGGGAGCTTTTTTATTGTGCGACTGCCATAGAAGGAGTTACGAATAAGAGATGGCATAGACTCGACAGCTGGAATTATTATTTGAATACCTACACTATCACATTACACCGTGAATACAGCGTATTTTGAGACGCCCTGGAACATCTCTTACATTGGTCTTAATTACATGCTCCGAATCTATTCTTATACTGATACACAAATCTTCAGTCACATCTTTGAATATATTTTTCCCTCTGACTCATCATTAGCTTCTAATCAGACTTTATCTTTCACGTGATGTCGAACCTTTCCGGATGTTACCTCGAAATTTCCATCCTAACATGCCTCCAATTGAAATGTTCACTGTACCTTTGGAGCTTATCTTGAACATCCTCTTGCAAGCCCCTCACGGATAGTCAGTCTGTCAGAAGCATGACAGCAGAGCAGAAGTAAAAGGTAACAGTACAAAAAAGTTCAATCATACATGTATATATAACAGTAGGATATTATCCTTGTGTTTGACGTGCGTGTATAACAGCGGGACAGATATCCTCTGTCATGCTCGTCATAAACAAATCCATCAGTGTACCGTAGGAACAGAGTCGAGGAAATAGACCGGCAACCGCCGCTAACGTTCTATCTCTATCCTGTGGTTTAATGACACTTTTAGGATATAACCAGTATTGGCAACAAGATTTGGGTATGGTATGTCACACTAAAATTTTACTACCAACCAATCCCATATTTTTGTTTTCGAAAAAAAAATCCAAACAACTATATTTTATATTGATATAGCTGGTATCTAATACAATTTGGCTGAAGTTTATGTTAAATTTTTTTATCTACAAAAGACACTATTTGACACTATCATATCTTGCTGTGCAGTGGTCATTTATTTTCTAATATAGACCTTCCTTGAAAGTCTGCTTTCGGTCACATATAGGTATGTATATGAAGATTAACAAAATGCTTAGAAAATTCAGGATGCATTTTGAACCAAGACTTGCAATATATAAGTAAATCCCTGTTGACTTTATTGAATATAATCAGATGTTAGTGCATTGTCTAACACTTAAGGCGCACTATAACCCTCTTATGTACTACAACTATGTTGCACATATTATAGTATTATAACTCATACAATGAATTACATATCGACCTGTACAAAGTTGTAAAGATAAAACATGTTATATATATAACATCTATATGTGTCTTTCATATCAATATAGATGTACGTCGTCTGCACGCTTCATTGCATCATGTAAAATTTTACCAATTACTTGAAAAGGCCCATTAGAGGCTTAACAATGGAACGGACTTTTTTTATTGTATATTGATGTCCTGTAACAGTTAAGAATATGTAACTCATTGGCCATATACATAAGTCATCTTTTGTTTTGGTTGGTTTTTTTTCCTGTTTTTATTTTTGGCATTAAGCATACCTATAGTGATTTAGTATTTTGTGAAGAAGTCAAAATACCACTTTGTTTACATTTTGCTTCCTTTATCACAAATCATTTACATATTCAACGTCATTTTCTCTAGGTGAAAGGCATCTCACTCTAAATCCATTATTACAACATTATAAAAAACATAATGGTCTTTCCATAGAAGGACCAAATGTATCAATTTCTGGGGCTTTATATGTCTAGAGATGATTTTATATACATTTCTTTAAATATAGTATAGCTATACCTTAACTTCTATTGCAATGTGTTGTTGTTGTTGTTGTTATCTTCTTATTCTTCTTCTTCTTCTTCTTCTTCTTCTTTGCTTCTTCTTCTTATTCTTCTTTTTCCTCCTCCTCCTTCTTCTTCTTTCCTATTTCATCCAACAGTTTGTAGTTTTACATAGCTATCATCCTCATCGACAGAAATAATGCAATACGTTTGCACGAATCTACGATAGCTCTTTTTCTATATAAATCGAACTACCTTCAATTGATTTTTCTAAATAGATCGAAGTACCCCATTATATTGATAATTCAATCTTGATTTATCTATAGTCGTAAGTACTTTATATTGATTATTCATTATTAGATCGAAGTATCTTATATTATATTTTTCAAAATTATAAATTTCAGATCGATAGTAAATCCATGTCGGTCTTATTATTCATTTATGATTAAAATTCTATAGTAAGGAGTTATATTTTTTGATGTATTCAATTTTACCAATTCGAAAGTTTTGTCGTTTATCATAGATTGTCGTCTTTCTTATATTGACTTTAATTTATAAATCGAAGATCATAATATTTTATTTATAATTCGAAGGACCATATATTGATTTCGTTTATGAAATGACGTATCTAATTTATCAGAGTGCGAGCGACCGAAAAACTAGCCTACTGCAGTATGTTACCAGTACAATTGCGGACAAGAAAGCATGCAAACTGTTTCGTCCAAAACGGTCGACTGCATATATCTTTTGGAATTCTTATATTGAAATACCTTTGATTAAGAATGGATAGTTCCAAATTCTAAGTAGGGCAAATCCATTATTGAAATTTAGGAGGATAAAAGATTAAGATGCACAATGTTTATTTTACTTATTTGTCAAAACATATTCTCTCAAGTAAAACTAATTTCGAGTTATCTTGTTGTAAGCAAATTGTTATCACTGTAATTTACTCTTAGATAAGGACAAACTTAATGTTATATGTATCTCACGTGAACTCATGTATAATAATATAGGTAAATAGATGTTAAAAGTTATGTTATATGGTTGATAATATGGTATGCAATTTGTCCTGTCGACTCTGCTAGTCATTTATAATTTGAGCCGCGTCACGACAAAACCAACATAATGGGTTTGCGACCAGCATGGATCCAGACCAGCCAGCGCATCCGCGCAGTGTGATCAGGATCCATGCTGTTCGCTATCAGTTTCTCTACTTGTTATAGGGTTTGTAAGCGAACAGCAAGGATCCTGATCAGACTGCGCGGATCTAGCTGGTCGCAAACGCACTATGTTGGTTTTGTCGTGACGCGGCTCGTTTCATTATCAATTGATGTCGTCTGCCACAATGACAAACTCTATAATGTAGAAGGAACGCCAGGTTGCATCAGTTGAAAATCTACCATTGTATTTTAAAAATGTTCATGATTTTCCGCGTAAATTATTGAAAGTAGTCTGAATATTAAATTTGCGGGTGAGAGTTGTTTGTGATTGACAGCAAAGATTGTTTATTTGCATACTTATTTTTATCTTACAAAGTACCATCAATTTGTAGTTAATTAGATACGAAAATTTTCATCATTAGTGTTGAGTGACATCTACACAACTTTGACAGCATGTATAAAATTCATTTGTACTTTGTTTGCCATTTACTTTTAAAAGTGTAATCTTCATGGTTAATACATCCTTAATTCCATAGTACTAGTTAATTTCGTTTCTCAGTATATTTATGCAAGATGAAAACATTTGTGTTGTAAAAAACAAATATGCTGGCATGCATGTATAACTGACATCATTAGTGTACCAATTCTATTTGTACTTGGCAAAAAAAATGCTTAAAAAACGAATATGAAGAGCGCGGACTTTCACATTATATAAACAGGTCTACTTCCTGTTATCGCAAGAAAGGTACAAATTAAAATATATAGGCTCCCAAGTAAGGTTCAGTGATCGGAAGTAATATGTGCTTTTACTCGCAAGACAGGGTACAAATTGAATTATGTAGGCTCACAAGACAGGGTACAGGGATTTTGTTTATATACTGTGACATTGAAAACAATGTTTTCCGCATGATAAAAAAAGAGTATTTTATTGTAAATCATTCCACCAGTGTACTAGTATATTGCTTACTCAAAAAAAATTCTGTCCATACAAAGAAATTAAAACGTGTAATTTTTTATCTTAACAAACACGGCGTCTATAGAAGTCACACTTCTGTTATTTGAAGCTTTAATGCAGGATACAAAAAACTTCGTGAATAGTTTTGTAGTATTGTTTGTTGACATGCAAATATGACTGGTTAACTGACGACTTTTTTATGGCATGGAAATGTAGATACAGGTCATTAATTAATTGTGACCGTGTTGCGGTACTGCAAGTTCAATCCGGAGGAGAAGATGCGCTACATTCCCAGGTCTATTTTATCTTCATACATAGTCTAGTGTGACTGGAGGATGTACAGGGTCCAAGGTTATAAAAAAATTCTTGTGTTCTATGCTTAAACTCAGATCTCAGGTATTTGATTGGTCAGACACCAGCACCGAATGTATATTAACCAATCAAATACCCATGCTCTAGGGTCTGAACTTAGAGAATTTCTTTTACAACCTTGGACACATGAACATCGTGTCAGAAATTGGAAATGCTTCACAAACTATAAATTTAACAGGAACATTAACCGTCTACTTTGAGCCAACAGTAAATCGACATAGCCACTTTTGGCCATAGTATTTTTTTATTTTATTATTATTATTATTATTATTATGGGTTTTACATCGCACCAACACGGTATAGGTCATATGGTGACTTTCCAGCTTTACTTGTGGAGGAAGACCTCAGGCTCCCGTCCGTTCATTATTTTAGGCACAAACTGGCACCTTATTAAAACACTGACGTTCCGTAAGCTAGCTGAATAGCTTTCTCAGCCATATTACTTCTTAACTGATTTACTTAATAGAATGGTATTTATTTGGTGTTGAATGATGCTTTTGTATGAGAGGGTAATTCATGTTTTATATATAACGGGTTCCAGTAATAATGAGTTTAAGACTTCAAGTATATTTTAATTCGATAAGAGAGGCCAGGAACCAGGATCGAATGTAATTAAAACATGTTACAGAGTCTCCCAAAAAATATAGCGAATACGAGGTATTGTACAAAATATATCTGATCACGTGACAGAACAGGGTAAGTATTTCGGCCTTTTTGCTATAAACAACTTACTAAAAGCAACCACACCTTTCTGTGTACATGCAACTACAAAATACACTCCTAGTTCACAAAACAAACAAAGAGTAATATCTTTAAATATATTATTTATTGATTGTCATATCATATCAATAAATGTCTTAAACATATAAATTATACAATAAAACTGGAACATAAAAACAAGTAATACAAGTAATATATTCCACGGTCTGAACAACAAGGAGTAAGCTGTACAATGTAAAGAGACAAAAGGGTCCTCCTGCACGAGATTTTCGTGCATTTTTCAATAACTTACGAATAACACACGAAATCTTCGTGCATTTTTCAATAACTTATGAATTTCACACGAAATCTTCGTGCATTTTTTTCCCAATAACTTATGGATTTCAAATGAAATATTCGTGAATTTTAAATACATGTAAGTTATGGATTGCACACGAAATTTTCGTGCATTTTTCAATTACTTAAGGAATGTACACGAAATCTTCGTGCATTTTACAATATTTGTTCTCACTTAGTAACATTCAGTCTAACAAATTTGAAAATCGTGATGAAAAAAAAATTCTACTTCAATTGTTGCTGAACAAAATGGTCCTCGTAAACTGTATGTATTTTGGCATATATAACTGTTTAATTTCGAAGAACCTAGTTATTAAATGATTTTTTTTCAGCTCAAAATTCTTAGGTTTTGAGTGTTATTTGCAAAAATGAACACATCTTTCTTTAGACATACACGAACATGGAGATAAAGTCTGTTTATCGTTAGAAAATAAGTAAATAATAAATACATAAAAACCGCCTACATATAAAACTTCAATGCAGAACTTATTTGGACGAATTAGTTTCTGTGTAAAGAATAAAATATATAAAGCTGTATGAAGTAATTCATCTAAAAAAAGATATAAATGCTATTGTGAAAGATATGTTTATTTCCTGGTCACCGTACACATTCCGTAAATCATTTTCAAGCAAAAAAAAGCCGTTCTGCAATAATCTGGCTTTAACCCTTTAATTTTACTGAAATTGATAATTGCAAAAAACGAAGATCAAATTGTATTTTACACCCAAACGTTGTTTAAAATGAACAAGCGGTCATGTTTTACTAGTGACAAAGTAACAAACATATTTTTTCGAACTGCCTTGAACATTGTGATAGAAAAACCTTTGGAGGAGTATACGGGTTTAGGAAATGTTGATAATAAACTAACCTAGTACATTAAAACATCCCTCAATGCAAATAACTGCATCGATTACTTTCATAAATTGTCACTTTCGTCCTTTGTGGTGTTTATAACTTACACCCTTCCCTATGGTTGGATTTTATAGCACGTTGCGCTTGTGCAAACCCATAAAGCCCAGCTTTTACGAGCGTTTAACTTGGGAAGAGTAAACATTGATCAATGGTGACGGAAACCATGAAATCCTTTTAACACATTTTTAGTAAATGTCTCCGATGTCACGTCACCATGTTCTTCCACTTAGTAGGTATGGCGAGCCCCCATTCATAACAGCCGGGGTAGGGTAATTTATGCTGTTATATATCCCTGACGTCGGTGATGACAACGATGACGATGAAGATGAGAAACAATGCGTAGATGAATTAGTAACTGATGACATCGTGTTTCCATGTATGGATGGGGCAGTGTTTATCTTGGCACTAGACGAACCATGAACATGAACAGGGCTTGAGCCAGTATGATTATGCGATGAGGAACTTACACGCGCCTGCGCATGCGCAGGTTGTGAATTATGAGAGTCAGTATTTCCGTTTCCGGAACAGGGTTTTCCATCTTTGACTAAAACCGGAACTGCCACCTTTTTAGGCGAATTTTGCGAGTTCTGAGATTGTTGCGGTGAATTTTCGCTCGCATTTGAGCTTGCACTAGAATCTAACTTATCTTTATCTTTCTGTTGACGCTTGCACTTATAACGATGGTTCTGAAACCAGATTTTAACTTGAGTCGGCGTTAGATTGATCATGCTGGCTAGATGTTCTCTTTCTGGCGCCGAGAGATACTTCTGCTGTTTGAATCTTCTTTCAAGCTCGTACACCTGAGCCTGGGAGAAAAGAATCCTACGCTTCCGGCGCTGCGTGAGAGGGAACTGCATGGCCTTATTATGATCCAGACCTGGGATTCCCATGGTATTCATGTGGTTCATCCCAGACGACATTGGTGACATGGCGCACGAGCTCTGACCACTCATCAGACGAGAAACTGTAATGTAAAAGGAGAAATATAGGTATACGATCATTTGCAAAATGACATAATTATGTTGGAATGCAATTTATTTTGAGAATAACCAAAACATTTTTGTTTCCATATAACATGTTATGTTATGTTATTATTGTAATAAGTTTACTTATTAATTATATAGTGAGTAAATATTTAGCATTCAAAACGAGAAAATTCATATTGGAATTTCTTTTCAAATTGATGAAAACCCCTTTTTAATAACTGTATCAATTTTAAGAAAAGTTTTATTAAATTCAATGTAATACACAAGTTAAAAAAAGATATTAGTTAACAATTCAAACGATTATTTTTATATCGATTTTATTTTTTGATATTTATTTTATTTGTTTTCTCTGGAACACCTTGTTTACCATTACAGCAATAGCCTTAGACATTTGTATAATTACGTACGTTGTCAAATCGGAAATTCAAATTAAAAGCTTTTAAATTATTATTTATTAATTCTTTTAACATGATAAATATTTCTCGGGTCCTATAATTTCGTTCATATACTTGAAGTATGATTTATCATAATCTTTATATAAGGCTCGCTTTCTGCGGTTTTTAACATTTTATTTGCCTTTCTAGATATACTTGAGTAGGAACGCCATGTTTATTTTTTTATTCTCATAATTTATTTATATTCTGAATAGGTTGATTTCTGTTAAACATTCATGCCTTGGTCAAAAGTAACGTTCGTATTTTCTTAACTGTTAACAGATCTATTTCAGGAGGTCATTCTGATATGAAAATGGGTAGGAAACGCGAAGATAAAATTTGTATTATTTATTCAAATGATATTTATTAAATACAAAATACATAATCTATAATATTAAACCAGTTTGACAGAATATTAAATGATTGGCTCCAGGTACAGGTTGTCCCTCGCCCTTTGACTCTAACGTTCGTCACAATGCAAAAACAATTCAATTAAATTTTATTTCATTATTCCGTACACTGTTAATATCTAAAACAAATTAAAGTCAATTTCTATTCAAATCGTCAACTTTTCCTATATTACAACAATATTTTTCTAGTACATGGTGCTAATATTTTTCCAAGCGTTTAAACTAACACAGTATGGTCAAACGCGCCGCAAAACTATTTTGACAACATGGCTAAAGAGAAAAATCGGAAAGAAAAATGTTGTGAACAGGTGGCACAGGCCTTAAAGCGGGGATTAACCTGTTGAAAATAATCTTAACACCTTCTCTTATTTATTAGAATAATATTTTTCGGGATCGGATTTTCCTTATAAATACATTGATTTCTAAATATTCTCCAATCCGATTCGATGTTATTTAATTGACACAATGCAATATCATATTATTCCACGTTTGTACTTGCAAACTATACTGATTTATAAATATAGAACCACGATTGCTGCATTTTCTGTCCCATTCTATAAATAATATACATTAAAAATGTATTATAACATGTTTCGGAAAGAATACATAAAAAAAAAATTTCAAAACATCTATGTATTTCGTTAGTTGATTAATTAATAATGCAATTTGACCTTTTCCTTGAAATTAACCCTTAAAATATGTATGGAATACACTCCCTCATCCATTCCAAAACAGTTTTGATTAACACTGGTTAGTTAATTTTCTGATTTAATTAAATTAAGAAACCCATCTAATTATACAGTATGCCTATCAAAGAAAATGCATTAATATAGGCCTGATTCTAAAAACCTTGTACTTCCAAATTTATAATTGTTTAATCGGCATACAAATTGAACAAGAATAGCAAAGGTCAACGCGTTCAGATTTGAAATATAAATACAAAAAAGAAGGTGTATATTTAAAATTCTATCAAAAAGGTGTAATTATCTCTGCGTGGTGCTTTCATTTCCTCTAACAGTGTCCAATTTCTTACTTTATTATCAAAATGAAAGTGAAAACGTTGGCATTCATTGATAATGTCAATTCCTAACACTAGACCTCGAGAGAAAAAATGGTCTTAGAGATCGCTTTACAAAATGTTCAATTCTTATTTTAATGAACTGAATTAGAAAAAAAGACATGTTTGTGACGACGAAAATGCGTTAAATACTCTATTTTTACACGGGTTTGGATATAAAACTGTACATTAGAAGTGTAAAGAATTACATCATCAAAATAATAAAGTTAAGAAGCCACCAGTGCAGAATCTGGTTCGAAATGCACGAGAGTGCGCACTGGCCTAGCTCTGTACTGGAGGCAATAAATTGTTATCATCATCGTTGTCGTATAAATGTTAACATGTAGGATGACAAAAAAATAGAAGCTGCCTTTCATTCCATATTCCCGTTTCGGGTAATATAAATTTAGAAGTAAAACAACAAGAACAACATAGATTTCAATTCTGAAATAAACATTTCCATCAATTTCATAATAGCTGTAACAATCTATTGCATAGGTTTTATCATAGAAACCCTAAATAATTTTTGACACTATTCTAAAAAATGAAAATGGAAAAAAGTCTATGAATAAATTAATAATAGTTTCCTAAGTAATTGCCCGTAAACAAAGGCAAATTTAATGAAATATAAAAATATAATTATTATATTTTTGACTGGTACTTTTTACTCAAAGAATATTTCGTTCCGATATAGGTACAGGCGTTTGCATGTCACGTGACAAAAGTAGTAGTACACTTTACGTCATTCGTCTGATAATATCTTCTGTCTAAAAATTATTCCTTGTTTTCTACAATACTAGATTGAAATTAGAAATATTCGATACATACTTGTTTGAAATTTAGACATGGTATTATTTGAAACGCAACCGGAAATGTCATTATATTTTTGTTTTGTTTATTTCAACAACAATTTGCTATCTTATCTCACTTTTTTTGGAGTGTTCTTCTTTACTTTAATTTAATTTAATTCATACACTACATGGTTCCTCTCATTTAACAAAAAAAAAAATAATGGCAAATATCTTATTTCTGTAATTATATCTTTTAATTTGAAAGATCCTGGTTTTTAAATTCATTAAAAAAAACTTTAAATTTCACTTAGGAAAAAAGAAGGGAAAAAAGAATGTTAATCATTATGAACAAATTGATATCCTTAAATTTTTATTTTGTTGTGAGTGAATATGTAAATAAGATAATAATTGTATATGTTTTTGTTTAAATTTAAGCGACATATAGGTATTTATTTATTTTACATTTTATATTTTATTTTTCATTTATTATTTCACAAATTTTGTTTCATATTTGATACCGACAACAAATAAACATTGACTTGACTTGATAGTTGACTTGCCTTTTTTTTCAGGTTTTTTTTCCGATGTAAGGAAATCTCTAGTCGAAATAAAATCTGTGTTATTAACTTATCAGGAATGAAAGTCACTTAAAGAACCTATAAATCAGTTGGTCATGTCATAAATTGCTCGTGAAATTCGTTTAAAAATTGTATTTAAACAAAATGGTCTGTAAATTTTATTTTCGACTCTTTCTTATTATTTGAAGTACAGAGACAGTATTAGGCACTGAGCAAGTTATATCACTTTAAAAAGATATCTTAACACCTAAAAAAATGATACCGTTTTTATAATATACAATTATCATTATACGTTCTGTTTAATATTATATTGAAAGTGTTTCTTTTTATATACATTTAAAGAAAAATGATATTTTTGAAAGTGTTTCTTTTTATTCATTTAAAAGAAAATTAATATTTGTGAAAATGGTGCTACATTTAATAAAATCAAATTAATCGTTTTAGTGTTGTCTTACTATTTCATTTATACAATTATTATAACATCATGAAAGATTAGTGTTTTTGTTATTATTTTGTTTAAAATATACTTTTTAATGATAAATTTAATATACATAATATATAATAGGCATTTATTAAATTACAACTCGTGCATTTGTCTAAATTTACTTATAAAGATAAATGTTTCTGCATAAATTTTCATTATTTCCGATCTCATGAGCAGCAAAAAAACAATCTTTGCAATTTTTGAAAGGAAAAAACACACGAAAAAAATCCCCTATTTTTGTAATACGAAGCAATTTCTTTCAAAACCGATAAAGACATGTATATGTTAAATAGCAGGAACCGTTCTATTTGTTCAAACCGCGCATATCAAATTGTTTTGTTTATCCAACAAATGTCTTTATCTGGCAAACTTGCCTAAACTTTGGTATAACTGTAATCACTAAACGTTTATATTCGACTTTGGAGCCGATTTCATGTTGATCAGGAAAACAGTACTTGAAAAAGTTGGGTTTTATCTCCCGAACCCGACTTGGGCTCTCAAAATTTGATGGGTGACACCTGCATGTATACATAGCGTGACCTAAGCCGCCCTTTTTGTTTTAAAGCCTGGTTCACTCCAAATATAAAAAAAATCGTCATCTTAAATACCGTGAAATATAAAGGGTGTTTTTTAATTCCTTTTCCCTTTGATTTTTCTTTTTGAAATGATAAAAAGAAGTACATGCACGAGAGAAGGGCATGATAACTGAATATCTTATAAATATCTTTTTATTTCTTCAATTCTTGGACAAAAGTATTTATTATTGTTTTGTCCCAGTTCAAATAGATAATAATATTTCTCCCAGTGCATTCTGTTTCAGAGACAACGATTCGCACGTAAACTAAACTTAATGTTTAAATCCTATAAGTTAGTAAGTGAATAACATTTTTATTGTTGTTTTTTTAGTTCATTCATTCTAATAGCTAGTTTTATATACATACATAAATGTATAAGTTATATTTATCTATTTGTCAATTGAGAAATGCGCTTTATTATTAGTTAGTGAACTATTATAAATATATATATTATATATATATTCTGGTATCAAAATTCCCAACTCGGATGCATTTCTTTGTTTTTTTGTTTTTTACGTATTGAATAAAACGATCTATATACATTCATATATCATTTTGCACAAGTTAACAAGGGTAGTTAAAAAGTCAAATGTATGCCGACGTTTACCCATACTTCAATTTTATCATTTTCTCCTATACATTATTTATCAAAGTTTACGCATTTCGTTTACAATCAAGTTGCGTAAAATCAAAGAACTTTACAAAACACCATTAACAAAATATTCAAAATATTTGTCATTATACACATTACCACAAACTATATTCACTCAATAATCTTTGCCAAATCTTTTTTATGACCATGATAGATTGTACCGATACAAGAACATATTAGATATATTAAAAGATACTTACTTGTGAGTCGGTGGTCGGGAGATCCGGCATTATACCAGTTCGTGCCATTCCTCATCATAGGGTCGGTGTAGTAATCCCCACCGTTACAATACTGAGACGTGAAGCTCGGTGCGTGATGGCTTAGCGGTGGCACATAGTTGTGGTACGGGTTTGTCACCGGCACACTCATGGCACTCATACTGTTCATACTTCCAACTCCAGTCTGAGAACCCGAGCCGCGATAAGTGTAAGCCCCAAGGCCCGGGATTCCTGTCTCCCCGAACGTCGTTTTGCGTAGTGGTAAGTTAAAGTTAGAAAAGTTTTGTAACTCCTCAATGGGGTTCAAGATATCTGTCACAGAAAATGGTGTACTATGCTTAGGACTGACGGACATTACGTCCTTAATGATTCACACTCAAGACGCGTCTCCAATGTCACTTTATCACTATTCCGTTTTAAGTACCTCGCTACTCCAAGAACCAATCTACATCTTCAGCATGAATATAAATGTCGCAATTTTTTCAAGTCCTCCAAATTATCACCCGAAGGATGTATGCGCACGCGCAGAACGGGTATCGAAGTATCTGTTTCTGCTAAATCCCTCCTTCTCCGGATAATGGGCGGAGTCTGTTGACAAATCGCTATCTGCCAGCAGCTTTATTATCCTTCAATAGTAATAATGATGACAATTTATAAGCTTCTGTAGGCTTCCGCACCGCAGGGCAATTAATACTTTGAATTTTGACACCAGATCATCCACTGCTAATTTTTAATAATCAAGAAAATGTGATTAGAACTTGAAATTTTTTAAAGCACGTCCGAAACAGTCAATGACTGAATTAAGATATAAAATTTCAACATTTAAACGTTGCCTTTTATACCAGATTAAGGAAAAAAGCCTTGAAGTAAGGCGATTAAAAATATTGAAGGGGCGTGGCTTTGAGTCTTAAGAGCCGGGTGGTGAATATTTTTTTAACTTTTGAAATTATTTTAAACTCTTTGCTTAGCTTGCCAACTTTGTTATACCAGAACCCGCCTACCTCCACTCCCGGGAAGCAAATATACCTGCATAACTAAATTTTCAACCGTTTAAAGCAACTTAACATTGTGTCGTTTTTGTACAATAATTTAAGCATTTCTTTTAAAGATACAATACAATGTACTTGAAAATTGAAAATTTTGGTAATATTATTAATTGAAATGGGTATGTTTGGGCTTATATTCAATTGCATAAGTCATTGCGGTTGTATGCACATATGAAGTACCCCAGTACAAAAAGGAGAAGGTTCTAATTTGATGAAAACGAAGCCCTTGTATTATTAAGCAAAGTCTAGCATATATGTCCACATTGGTTTCAGGAAAACATCATACCCATATTAATATTATAATTAAGAATGTAATAAGAAAAGAACCGAACTTTATAATGTTTTGTTACTCTTTTAAAAGTAAATTTACTTTCTTCTTCTTCTTTTTTCTTCTTCTTCTTCTTCTTCTTCTTCTTCTTCTTCTTATTATTATTATTATTATTATTATTATTATTATTATTATTATTATAACTTTTGGTTTACCGTGAATATAAATATATAATTTGCTATAACTCAATCAGATTTCCCGCCAGTTTTCTTTCTTTTTATTTTGTCATTAAATGCGATGATTTGAAATAATACATATATTGTATAATAAGAATAGTTTATAAACAAATATCAACTATGTGACTAAAAGTTTTCATTTCTAAGCATTAATTAGAGTGACGTTGAAAATTATTACTTATATTATTACATCATTTTTATATCCGAACAAATTGTATAACCCTTTATATCCAAATTAGACGCACACATACAAGAGCTTTCGTGTTGTACAATTATAAATTATACCAAATTGCTACAAAAACATATGTAATAAATGTTGATGATCTTGTTTTTTCAGGCAACTTATATAAATATATATATAATATTTCTACGATTGTATATTTTGCGCATATAGAAATAAAATAAAATAATATCTATCAAAAACGGAACAAGTTTTTGTTAATACAGTATCATCCGATAATAACAGAACAAAAACATGGGCACTGAGCTTTAACAATAAAAATGATTGCGGTAACTGTTCGATAATCAAAGTTATGTTTTATCTTTTGATATCTGAAAGATTTGGCCGGACCAGCTGGACAAAGTTTTAATAATTGCTAATCACTGTAATGACAATGCAAGACCGTGTGCTAATATTTTTCCAATACTTAGTATCGGATTTAGACCTTCTTTCGCACCTATTCTAATGTGTTTTGAAAAGAATTTACGCGGAGAAGAATTGTTGAAAGTTATATATTTACAGGGGAGAATGTGCCTATGTGGTTACGATAGCGTAATAATATAGTGGTAACAGGTGTGAATTTAACACCGTTGTTAAACGGATTTAACACAGCGACACGCGCTTCCTAGAGTTACAGAACAGAACAGAACTAACTAGTCGGCTTTCAATATAGCTGGTGCTATTTTCTGGAGAAAAAAAAACAACAAAAAAACACGTACAAATGCATTTTCCATGAATATGTAATAGATATTAAGCTTATAAATCAATGTTAATTCAGAGCAAAACACCTTTTTTAAAGCATTTACAGAATAACAATACATGTATATTCATTCGTTGTAGCTGAATTTCTTAAAAGGACTTATCTAGCCTCCATAACTGAAACTCTTCAGTTTTGCGGAATACTGGTGGCAAATGCTGATCATTTTCAGTACCCGCAGGTTAAGGGTTAAAAAAGTATAGTTCAAAAAATCACATTCTAAACTGGCTATTGAAATAATAAGTGTGTGGAGTAAATAAAGTTTAAAAAATAAGACACTGATATGATAAATTATATATTGTATAAACAACACAGCTGTACCGGATAGAATATTATTTATTTTCTAAGAATGTTTTTTCTTCTCTTGAAATTTCACTGTTAATGAAGTCACCAAAGTTGATAGAAGTTAAGAGCAAGAAAAGTGATCTTTAGATATAATGAAAATGACTTTATAATTTTCCGCCATAGACTTGAATACTAGAGCTACTTAATTGATTGCTTTCTTAGAATATGTTCTTCACTAGGTTAAACAAAAGAAATTGCACACTTCTGATGATGATGGGGATAAGTATTATATTATACAGAATGTTTGTTTCGTTGCATTTGTACATTGAACTACATCATTTGTGTCAGATTAATTTAATATTAAAAGGCCACAGATTAATTTAATATTAAAAGGCCACTGCATGTTCGATTTCAATTTTCTAAAAGAAAATGACCGTTGTGAATTAAATGTAATATATGCTTAAATATGCAGGCCAAAAACATCGTTGTTCTTTATTTGTCAAGCAATTAGCCATCATATTTTCAAAAATGAAATAAAATTTGATTATTTATAAAGTAAATTGACATACTAAATCATAGTCAAAATAAACGCCTGTCAAAATACTTATAGGCACAAGTTCAAATAAAATATTTAACAATGATTTAGTTATAACACCCGCGTGAAACTGTTTACATATCCATGTTTAGAAATAGCACAATGTCTCTTGTGTTCTAATTCACTTTCACGCATTTTTAGTCTTAAGAGTTATTCAAATCCGACAAAAAGTTAGTAACCTGAACGCCTCTTAACACTTTAAAACATTACGGGAAATATTATCTAAATACGAGTAATTAACCGGTAATTCGGAAGTAGAGGTTTTCGGATAAGCCAAACATTGTTTGACAAGTAAATGTTTTCCTTCGGATCACGATACCTTCTCAATACATACTATTTACTAACTCGGCCAAGAGGGCTTCTTTCTTGTTTAATTTTGTTATTTAGACATATTAAATAGGAGGGGCATGTCGTTTACTTAAATTTTACTCAAATTTACTAAAATGTAAGCAAACATAAAAACAATGGGACACATTCAGTCGTACTTGTTTTCTACTCCCGGCTATAATATAGAATAACGGATTAATTCTCTGACAGATTTTATTTAATAAAACCTTTATATAAATTTATTTTATATAATTTAAAAGTCATTAAAAGACAGTCTCAAATATTTAAGATATTTAGCGGAAATGTTCAGTTCTAGAATAGTTGAAATTATTTCTAAAACAAATAATAATGATGATGATTTTTAGTCGCCCCGGTATAAAAAAGAATAACACATTCTTTATTTACTATTATGATTGTTTAAAGAAGATGTTGTTTTTTTCGGAGGGTTCGATGTCGGGCAAATGTTACAGACGATCAACATCATATCGTTTAATAGTTTCATGTCAAGGTTTGAATACATTTGTACATGGAATTTTTGCGCGCTATGGCAAGCTTACTACTAATGAACGCTTCCTTCCGTATATACGCAGTGATTTTATATTTTATTTCAGAGACATACGTAGATACATACAAAATAAAATGTTCCTGATCAGTGATAATGTTGAATAACATTTTTTTTTAAAGATTCAATAAAATGAAATTCTATTTTACAATATCTCACGACCATCTTTTTCTGTTTGCTATAACTAAAGCTTTAATAAAGTGTCTAAAATACGATGTTAATAACTGACTACCACATGCCTTCACCATTGTCTTATCATGATAATAAATTTTAAATTTCAGCCATTTCCCAATGGTAATAATCAGTAGAAAATTTATAGCCCAGTCAATAAATATAATATATAAATTTTATGGATGGTATTTGGATGTTACTGCTGTTTGCTTCCCTGCAATAAAAGTGGCATAATATCCGACCGTCGAGGTCACGTGGTAATATGCCCGCTGTTTTATAGCCGCCATGTTTGATATGTTATATGTCGTCTGCAGAATGAAACAGCCATAAGTGGTACTGAAAATACTTTAAATAAAATTGAATTTATAATGAGCTGTTTCAACTTTCGCATATTTTGTCATCAATTAAAACAGATATATCTGAGAACATCATTAACTCAAAGAGACGGTATAAATCAATGGTGGTACAACAACAACAACGACATGGTGTCCCTTTATGTGTCAGTATAAAGAATAATTGTAAATTAACAAACGAATATTTTTATTTTTTCATTATGAAAATATTTGCATGATGTACAATAATAAAAAAGTCCACATTGGCGTACTTTATAAATTAAAACTTAACATACATGAAACATACTCATGTCCAAGTTCTCTTGCTGGACATATAAAAATCAGGAAAGAGGTCAAATCTCAATATTTGCACTGTCAATATACCAGGTACCAATGTAAACAAAACCGTAACACAATACCCTCCAAAAACGTCCCCTGTTTAATCGGAACGACTTAATCGCAACAATTCTACATCCTAGCAAACACTATGGCAGTAATCCAATCGTTAAATTTCCTCAACAGGATGTTTGCTTTTCATAAAATTTGTGTGAAATTCGATAAAATTTAATTTTATATTTAAATCAAATTGCATTTAAGGTTTGATAAGTAAGAATGTCATCTTTGGAGAGCTGTTTTCTTTGTTGACAAATATAGTTATTGTATATGTATATCAAACAGATTTTTAAGTTGCATTTTGTTGTGAATCATAATATACAAATAGCATATACAAATGATGTGTGTCAATCGATCTACAAATTTACCCGTAACCACGTATTTTTCTTTTTTTTTCTTCTTCCTTTCAATAAATTTCTTTAAGTCCAAATACGTGCATTACCAAGATAATCTCCGTTGATTTTACATTCATAAATACATTCTTGGCGTGGTGTTTCACTTATTGATTCCATCGCACAAGGGTCTTTCAAATAGAACTTGAAAGACCCTGACCTCACTGACAGACTGCACGCATTCCAACTGGCCATTTCAAAAATGATTTG